TTTACAGGGATAGGCGCCTCGGTGAAGCATACCGGGGCTAGGCGGTGTGCTACAGCAGAATAGTGGATCCGGCGGAGCCGGATCTCGGTAGCTGCTCCGGCAAAGCCGGAGATCTCGACCGGGCTCTAGCCCGTGACAGCTATAGAGGTTTCTCTAGCTTAGGCTATCCTAGCCCTTAAATAGTTCCTTATAAGAGTTATATAGCAGTTAATAAAGTACGCCTCCAGGCGGCAAACTGCGAAGAAAAAAGTTAGAAGGGAAGAAAGAGATTTCTCTAATCAAAATTTCTTCTGTTTTCCATATGTGAGCACTTCTTGCATCAAACATTCAACATTCTGGCTCATTTCTGAACATGAAAGCTTGAGAAATTTGGCTTGTAAGAAGGCTGTAGACCCCAATGGAAAGCCCCAGACCAAGGACCATCCAACTCTTGAACATTGATTCTCAATCTTCTTTAGAAAGTCTTAGGCCACAAACTATAGAAGATATGGTCGTCATGTTTTAATGATCGTAAAATGTTGACGGGAATAATTCTATAAGCGTTTGGCAGTTAGCTTTATTGAAAATAACGCAAACTCAATGTCCACAGGCGGTTAATGACACAAAGTCAGAGGGGGGTATACAAAGGACAACAGATCCTGACTATTCTTTAGATACGGGCTCAAGTTTTTGGATGACAAACACTCTTGATCACACACACAAAGAACATTAAGTCTTATTTACAAGCGCAAAGTCTATTCAAAGAACTCCCAACAAACGAACCAATGATTGTTTTCTCTCGAGACTCCAGACTGTCAAGGTCTATACCAGCCAGGCATACCGAATCTTAGTCCGTCGCTGAGAAATCTTTGGACATACTCCCCAACGACATGATAGAGCGGATCCTCCTCCAGAGGCGCAATAGCGGTTGCCGAGCCACTTGCATGACCTGCATGACTTGTGGGCACGGCATTCTGGAGCTCAGGGGTTAGTGGTACTTCATAAAAAGGGCCTTGTGAACGAGTGAGCGTTAGATTAGTTTGGCGGCCAGTTCGTGAGGCCTGCTGCTGCTGCTGCTGCTGCTGCTGGGGCTGATGGCATGGCATGTCGAGGCCCCGTGTAATGGTCAAGGTTGCAACCCAACATTCGTGGCACTCCTGTCCAGGCGAGTATTGGAATTCGTACCGGCGGCCGGCGGGGCAATAGTCGAACAAGCGAGGGGGTACTCTGCGAAAGCTCCGGTCGAAACTTTCCTTCGCCGCACATTTGTAGGTCTCGGGAAGATGGCGCTGTCTGTCGTCAACTACGCGGCACTTTGGGCAGAAGTGCCATTGGACGAGGAGTTTACACATGACTGTGGGTGAGTTCGATGGACTTGGTTGATGTAAGTTATGTGTATGGTGGGTAGGACAGTTGTAGAGTTCGTTGACGAAGTACGCAGCATTGCAGAATAGCGAAAATTTATATGCCGAGGGCGTGGAAACAATGAGTGTCATTGTGATCGAAACAGTGACCTGTAGACAGCAGTTGTTCACAGTATCCAGTCAGAACAACGAGCGCTGATTCAGTATCATCGGGAGAAAACAAGCAGCTCAGACTGGCTTCGTCACAACTTCAGCTGAGTCAAAGAACGCCCTCAACGCCAAACAATCACTTTTACACAATATCTTGGTAGTCATTCATCATCAATTAGGGTTACTTATATTAGGTGGAAAACAAAACAACATGCAACACTGAGAGAATCCTCTCAAAGTGGGAATTCTTTTCCTTGGGGGCCCATTTTCTTGGGATTTCAACATCCCACCTAGCGGGAAGCGACGTCGATGCTAGCTTACTGACCACACTGTCCCTCGATGATGGCAGTGGTGCCGTTGACGGTGCATTGTCCGTCAGCTTCACAGGAACCGGCTCCGGATCCGTCGGTGCAAGCCAGGCCCTCGTTGTCGGCGGCGGCAGCGGCATCGGTGGCTTGGTCGTTACCTCCGTTGTTGTTGTTGTTGTTGTTGTTGTTTCCGTTGTTGGCGTTGTTGTTGTTGCCGTTGTTCGCATTGTTGTTGTTTCCATTGTTGCCTCCGTTGGCATTAGCATTGTTGCCGTTTCCACCGTTGTTTCCTGCATTGGCGTTGTTGCCATTGTTGCCGTTGTTTCCGCCATTGGCGTTGGCATTGCCTCCGTTGTTACCGCCGTTGGCATTGGCATTTCCTCCGTTGTTGCCGCCGCCGCCGGCTGCGTTGGCTCCACCGTTGCCGCCTCGGCCTCGGCCGCCACCGCCGGCACCAGCGGCTCCAGCACCACCAGCGCCGCCAGCTCCGCCGGCACCTCCAGCCCCGGCAGCACCAGCTCCGCCGGCTCCACCACGGCCACCTCCACCACCTCCACGACCGCCAAAGCCGCCGGCACCTCCTACGGCACCACCGCCACCGCCACCACGGCCGCCGCCGCCGAATTGAGGAGTAGGGGCTGTAAGGACATAATCGTCAGTGAAAACGTCCTTCATACGTGTCATGAAATTCTTGAGGACTTACCCGTCAACGCATTGCCGGTGAGAAGGGCAAGAGCCAGAACAGTGAGAGTAGTGTAACGCATTTTGACTGCTGGAAACGAACTAGTGAAAGTTGCCCAGGAAAAAGATTGAAGATGAGGAGCACGAAAAAAATGATCGTCAACGACCTTGTAATCTTGGAAAGGAAGAAAAGATGGGCGTGCACAGCACTGGAAAGAATGGTTAGACACACAAGGAAGAGGAGGAGGACTGGATGAAGCGGATGAGGAGGATGGGAGATCAGCTGCCCTTCTTACGGCGGATGATCTTGGGTCTTTTATGTGCTGTGTGCTCTTGGGACCACCACTTGCCGAAGACGGGGGAATAGGAGAATGAGGAGGGTCACTTCTCGCTTGACCTTGCCATCTGGATCCCACCCCAAACCATCTCGGCCGATGTCGAACAGCAATGGTAGGGACGCCAAGATGCCAGTTCTCGGCCGACGAAAACTGGGAGAGGGACGGTCTTGGGGGCTACATCACAGCCGCCCAACTTGCAACATTGGAAGTTTAGATGGCATGTCGTCCCAAACCGAGCATTGACGTCTGACGGGATGGAGACCCAGAGCCAAGAGCCCCAGTATGGGATGACTCCCAGTCGCAGGGACGAACAATCGAATTATGTAAAAGGTAAACAAAACCTCAAGGCCGCCTGGTGTGCCTGGCTCACATGCGGCGGGCGGCTCCTGCAGACTGTAATCCGCCCACCCCCGTTCCCGGGGCCGTCACTAAGCTTCAATTCATGGCTAAATTTTTAATTGGAGCTTTCCATCTCACGCAAGCCTGGTTCCTGCAGCGATGGCTGTTTTGGATTGTTCCTTGGCTCGCGGCCCGGAGAATTTGATCTGCGGAAGACGGGGGGTGCTGAAGCACGGAAAGGGAAGGGGATGATGGGAACTGGGCGGGTGCTGTGACGGTGTCACGGTGGCCGGGGGCGGGCCCGGGGAGGTGGTTTAAGGTGATTGAGCCGGCGACCCCCCCTTTCCCCGCAATTTCTTCTTTTATTTCTTGGGTGCTTGTTTCGACGGGTTAGAGATGTGACGGCTGAGCCTGGCGGATTGCGTGGTCGATCTACACGTAATGTGGGCTGGTGAGAGTGCACAGTGACACCGGGGGTGGGCGTCCGACTTCGGTAAATTCTTGGCTCGTGTTAGGGACTTCGGGGGGTGGTGATGTTGTTTGCTGGAGCCAAGATGGCAGTTGCTGCAGGTTGGGTCCGGGAAGGGGGAGTTCTCAAACATCTGGAACCTGTTGGCGATGGCCGTTTGGTGCAATGGCGGGTTGTGGGGAGAGCTTTTATTGAGAGGTCGGGCGCTTGCGCTTGCGTCTTGAGATGATGGTGTGAAGTATTTCGGCACGTCCAAAGTTGGCGTGACATACAAAAAGAAAGAGGGAGAACTGACTATGCGTCTAGGTCAATCAAAAGAGTATACTTTCATGCTCTTTTTAGGTACTCTCAGCGACAGGTTCGCAGATGCATGTCAACGTCTTGACTGAGCAAGAAAACAGTTGATGTCAGCGGCAGATGCCCTTGGCAGCGCATCAACTTTTGACGATCCTCCTTGTGGAACCTATCCAACAATAGCAACAAAAACGATGGACGAGCGATCAAACTGCGAAAAATTGGGCACAATTGGCGATCCTGTATGCCAACTGTTTCTGGTTTTTCCCCGGAGGAAATCCAAGGAAGGTCAGTCGTCAGTCAGATAAAGCGACCCAAAAGGTCAGTTGCGGTCGCGAAAAAAGCAAAAGGGAAGATGCGGCCAGTGTGGATTGAACACACGACCTTCAGATTAAGTGATTGAAGTTTACTTCAGTCTGACGCTCTCCCAACTGAGCTATGTCCGCCGATCTTCAGAGTTCGAGAGCGAAAAGACGGCCCATATCGTGGGCCGAGCCAGGAGGGTGCGAGAGCCCTGGCGGTTGACTCGTGGTGTGGGCCCGGGATATGTGGGCCCGGGATATGTCCGCCGATGCCTCACCGAGCCGGCCATGTTACTTCCAAGCTTGACCTGAGGAAGGCGCTGTGACATGGCTCCTGCTTTCGAGGCCGTTTTTAACCACCCGGGGCGGGAAGGAGCGTGGCGGATGGATTGACGAATCAAAATATTGAGGAAAGTGTGACTTTGCGATCCAACGTCGAAGAAAGAGCAAACGACACACCTGCCAGCGCAAGACCCGGACTGTCCAAAACCAGAATCCAATGATGATACTATTCATTCGAATAATTATGAACCATACACGAGGCAGTCGTGCTTTTCTGTTCTGTTCACCTCCTTCCAAACTCAAAGAAATCAGGTATGAATGTTTTGCGCCTTCCCAATCGCCATGTTCATGTACCTACCTCCCAAGGTATGCCCAGTCGTCCTTGCCCAGTATGTTCATGTCAAATACCTCCCCAATCTTCATGAATCCGGACATCTAATGTTTTTCTTTCCAGATCAAAGTCCTTCCCGACCGAACCCCCCGCCTAAATAAACCCAATTCGGAACTCGTCTGCAATTCCCGTCGGCGCCCTCAGCCCAAAGTCCGGCCTTCTGTGGTCTCCATAATCTGGCCGTCTCTGATCGCCCATCTCAGGCCTTCTTTGATCCCATCTCGGTTCCCGGGAGGAGTGACCCGCTGGAACACTTGATTCCGGGCTCATTTGTCCCTCCGACCGCTCAGTTGGCGTGTACGGTCTCCTCCCAGAACTGGTCCCGAATGTCGGGCTTGCCAAGGGACTCGGCAGTGGCCAGTTTGCATCGCCTGAAGGCTCAGCTACCAAGTTGCTCGGCGTTGGTGGTTGTTGCACTGCTTGCATTGGAGGAGAGACCATGGCGAAACTTCCATGCTGTACGTCCCGATCACCCCATCCTGCTTGCCTGAACTGAGGGTTTGATGCCTTGCGTTCCAGTTTGACAGGAGGCGGAGGTTGTCGTCGGTTTGCTGGAGTGATACCGTAATTGCGCTCCCCCTCTCCTGGCGCCACCCGTTTTGAAGCTGGCGGAGGCCCGATATAACCCTGCGATTGGCCGTTTCGATCGTTCTTGGCTGCAGGAGTCTCTGGGCTGACCATCTCTTGAGGATCCGAATCCTGTGTCCCCCGGCGCTCCAACGTCCGTCCACGGGCATCAGAGTTCGTTCTCATCCTCGGTTCAAAGTTTGGATTCTCTCTTGCATCCGAGCCCATTCGTTCTCTGGCCTTAACCCATTCGTCGGGAGGCCTAGCCGGGCTTCTCAACGGGCCCTCGAACGGAACCTGGCGAGGTCTCGGAGGCGGAGCGCCAGGGCTTGGCAAACCCGGACTTCTTGCCGCCTGAATTCTAAGCGGAAGAAGAGGCAGACTCTTCAGCTCCGGTGGCGAAGGTCGAAGCGCGCTTCTCGGCGGTGGGCCCGTCGGTGCGGAGTCGTTTGGCTGCTTGGCACCAAAGTTGAGACTGGTCGGGTCTTCATCAATGTCCATCGAAAAGCTCTGCCGTCTTGGTGAGTGGTACGTCAGCGTGTCCCGTTTTGCGGCGACGTTCTGAATGATGGGCCTAGGATATTGGCGCTCCTCTTCACTGGTGCGCTCGGCTGATGCTGTTGGAGAAGGCAAAGAAGTCGGCCCAGGCCTATAAGCGTCACGGGTGGTGTTGACAGCGGCAATCTTTGGCTTGAAATCGGTCTTGATAGGGGGTAGGGACCCATTGACCGACTGCGGAGGAGATGGGTACGCTTTGGCTGGCGACAGGGGCGCTGGTGTCAGTTCATCTTGCTTCGGTATGTCTCCAGGGTTCAAGTTGAACTCGAATTGGCCCAGAGGACTTCGGGGTGCATTTGAGATACTCGGCGCTGCGCTTGGCGCGAGACTCGGTGCGAGACTGGGCGCGAAACCGGGAGATCGGGGGCCACCTGCGGAGCCCGCCGGGCTGAGCGCACCGTCACGAGCATAATGTACGTCGAGAGGGTGGACCCAGCCGGCCTTGCGGCCAGGCGAGCTCGGGGTTCCTGGCTCACTGGTGATGATAGGTGGGGTTGGCATGATTTTCAGGTTCGTCACTGAACCGTTCTTCCAGCCCTTGTTCAGGTTGCTCTCAGATCCCATGGGACGGACACCACCCTTGCCACCCGGGGCACTGAGATCGACCAACGAAGATGAACCTCCATTCAAGTACGGTGCATTTGGATGACGGAAATCGGCGGCGAAGTTCTTGTTCGACATGGCTGTCCCAGGACGCGAGCCATACAGCGATGAGCCCCCGGCAGCCATTTGTGCATTGGGGGGCATGAAATTGTCTGGCATGTTGGCGAAACTTCTATTCGACATTGCTGTTCCAGGGCGGGAGCCATTGATCATAACGGGACGTTTGAGGTCGGTTCCGAAAAACTGACCCTCGCCGAGCATGTTCTGATCGATCCTCTTCCGCTGCTGCTGGGGCCTCGGCTCCGGAGCTTTCTCAACCTTCCTGCGAAGAATTAGTCGTCGGTACCGCGACGAGATGATTAGGAGCGCACTTTTTCTTATCCGCACCAAATTTCATCCCCAAGAACGACACCATGGTTGCGGTAATTTGTCTCGAGAACCTGCGAACGTCAGCCGAATTACTCGACAAAGAGGGGTCCAGAGGGGCATACTGCACAAAAGTGAGGGTACAAAATGAGAACTATGCACTGAATGGGTCCTGATCCCGGACTCGGACAGCCTGACCCAAGACTTTTTTTCCAAAGATAATCCAGCCAGACAAAATGGGGGGAGGATCAGTTCAAAGTCGCTCGAGGAATGAGTGGATGGAGCAGTCAATAGCTCCGATGACGAGCAGCAAGAGCGTGAAATGCGACCGAGCAAAAGAGTGTCGTGGAAAGAAAAAGAGCGGTCGTGGTTATTGCATATGGGCCATGTCGTGTCTTCCCGGCTGACAAGTCTGTTTTGCAAAGTGTGGAGGATGCGTTGGGTGATGGACAAGGGCGACGATCCTTATTCGCGACCCCAAGACAGTTGATCCGTTGCAGGTTCAGGGGGTAAAGAGTATATCTTTCCCAAAGTGGGAGCCCGGGAAAAGACGAATTGGCCGGATCAATGGACAGGGCAGAGCTCTGGTGGGGTGTTTTTGGGTCAGCCAAAGTCGAGCGAGGGCGGATGAGAGAGTTGGGCTTGTGTGAATGGAAAAGAAACGAGTGGTGAGTCCTTGCTTGCGATGTCTGTCTGGCGTAAAGAGTGGTGAGACCGAATATTGATCCCTTCAGAAACAGGTACAAAAGAGAGGACGGCAAGGAGTCGAGGACAAGAAAGACAACGGAGACATTGTCGCCAAGTCTTTTTCTGACGAGGAGGACGGGAAACAAAAGGTAATGGAAACAAGCCCGTGACGGGGACCATGATCCGGAGCAGGCCGAGCTATTGCGACGTCGTCGCGGTCGATAGAGAGGGTGGACCACGACCGTGTGCTCTGTGGAGATGACGAACAGGCCTCTTCCTAAGCACATTTTACCTCTTTGGGCTGGCGGTTTAATGAAACGGCAGCCCGGTGAGTGCGCGACAACACGACACCGTCGAAAGGTCCCTCGCCGCCCCGACTGACGGCCGTACTAGCAACTGTGCGTTGCAATTTCAACCCTTTGCCCCTTTTGACGTAGGTTCGCTTCCTTTGAACAGGGTCTCCACGCGTGCACGTCAATACACTTTTGGAGGGGAGGGCGGCCGGCCGAATGGGAAGAAACGAGTCCTTCAGGCACCGCTGCGCTGCACCTGCAAGGAGACTGCAGACAGGGCTCAGGCACACCTAGCACTAAGCCGGCGCGAGTTGTGACGAAGTCCAAATAGGCTGCGAGGGAGCCAACAGGACGTCGAGAAACCAGCAAGACCCCTGGAAAACCAAGAGCTGCAAAGCAACCAAAGCCTTACCTACAATGCAATTGACCCCGGAAGAAGGGTCGAAAACGACCTCGTGACGACGACCGATAAAGCGACACAGCAACTGATAAGTGCATCCCCGGAAAATACCACCTGAATGGGACCCCAGGATCAAGGGTGTCTGCAACAGCACACCCGCGAACTCATCTCTTTTGAGTTTCCCGCAGTGATAGAACTCTTGTCGCTAGTCAGTCGCATCGAATGTTGACTCCATCGTGTTCGCCGTCGTGTCTGCTTGTTGCTGCGAGCTTCGGCCAACTGAAAGGTACATTACTCACCTGCCTTACGCTCCCATCCACCGCTTACACTGTACCAGCTAGTGCAAGCTTGGAGAACAAGCAAGGGGCATTTAGCCAGGCTTATCAAAAAAGGAAACAAGACGCCAAATGGACAACACGCGATGAACGGGGTACGTACTGCAAGCTGATTGGAAATAGGGGTTTTCCCTGGACTTGTGCCGTCTTTTTAGCTTTTGGAAGCTGAAGCTTGCTGGGCCGGGCAGTTCATCCGAGCATTGATGGGACCTTGAAACTCCTCGGTTGGACGACAGCAATGGGGTTGACGGAAATCCAAAGGACCCGACAATTCGACAATGCACCCCGATCATTCCATGTCGATACGGGAATGCCATGACCGCTGACATCAGAATACCAGGTGCAGGTGGATCAGACGACGTCAAAACGTGTCCGAACTTCGATTGAGATCTTCAGGCACAGCCAACACAGCGAAACATTGTATCCTGTTTTTTGGGTTTCCACTGCCCGACCCTCTTGTTTTCGGGACTCGTGCAATATGTGGTCTCGCCCTAAACAAAAACCTCCGCCGGATCTTCCACTCGTTCTTCCGCGGCTAGGTTCTTCCCAGGGCGAGTCTCGAGTCAGCTTGATGATGTTCAATGAGGGCGTCGTTCCCTTTCCACCCCACCACCACATAGTCGATAATCCAGCAAGGGCAAATAACCTCAAACAAACTATCT